ATTCCCCACAGTGAAAAGTGAAAATGCCAAAATCTACCAGAAGAAAAAGTAATATCAAACCATCAAAGCAACGTATAATGACGTATAATGTAACATAACACTATTGATCATTAAAAAAACATTACGAAAAACCACGAAACATACACTTGGTATAAACAATACAATGTATAAGCATAGCAAAGTATATATTACATTATACCAATTAAAAAAAGCAAGAATCATAATATCAAAAAATATGAAACAATATACACCTGACATACCCAATCTGGCATGCTTTTACAAAATTTCGATTCTCTATGCCATCAATACGACTAGTCATTGAAAATGCAATAATTCTATGATTGTGCACCTAATTCTTTACTGCAAACAAAATGAAAAAGTAACACAGCAACCCTTATATGTTTTATGAAATCTATGAGTACAAGATCACAAGTGTATTTTGAACTCGTCCTATTGGAAGTCAAATAAATAGCATAAATACTAGAGCGAGGAGTAGTAGTTGCACATTCGTCGGACCAATCAGCTTGAGATTGCCTGAATCTGAAAACAATCACATTGGTTAGACATTAATAGTACAATGATTCGTTTATTATGGAAAGCGAGTAAATAATACTGAACATTCAAAAAACTAACATTAATAATAATTTCTGATGTTTATTGGTTCCATAAGGTAGACGACAAATCGCAAATGCAAAATGGATGACACTCGAACTTGTTTTTATGTGAACAACGATCTTGGGATTTCGTATGCCGGCCATGTTAAATTGAAAGTTTTATAAAGACCGTGTTTAACGCAAACATCTGTATACTATTAGGCATATTCACGAAATGAAAGTACACAACATATAATACATGCAAACCCGCCTTCTGACCTCAAACATTTTTTTTTAAAGAAGCACGTTTGTTTAACAACATTTAGCCGCTTATTCAAACATGTATGATGCCTCACCTGGGGGTTGCTCAAAATAATCACAATCTTTATTTCCAGCATTTTCTATTCCGCCTCCAAATGTAAGGCACTGATAACTCGCTGGACTGTAATCGTAAATTTCATCAGTTGTGCCGACCATCGCCAGCACACATAGGAAATGTACCTGGTCGCAATTACTGCAATTGATAATAGATCTCTACATTAATAAATAATACAAAACAATAACAACTAGAT